GTCTCTTGTCATTCACTAGTGCCGAGGTAAGAAGCCTAAAATATAGCTCCTAACTGAACACTTGAAAGAAATGATGGAAGAGTGGTAAGGTTACCTTAGACATGCACTGAGCTGAAAGAAGAGAGGGAGATGGGAAAGAGTAATGGGGCCACCACTGTACATGATGGCAACAAAACTGGGAATGGCTCGGAAGTATGAAAGAAGAATATATGACTTCTCAAAATGGAGACGAAGATTTACTTACAGAAATGAAGTAATAAGTAATGTGTAAAACTACTCCCTTCTCCCACACTTACCCGACTACCTCAACAGCATCATTAAGATATGGATCAACTACCATCTCCTTTGAAACGTTCCAATCTCCATCTGCAGCGATGATGCCAATGTTCGTTAGACCCAGTCTGTCCAAAGATTGTCGAAGTACCTTAGTAACAGATAACACCACTTAAAGTACAGCTTTCATCAACCAGGCAACATGAAAATTTAAGACTGAAAACAATTTAAGAACTATAGGAGTCGGCGGTGAAAGCATTTGTCTTCAAACCAAGATGGGTAAGAAAAGTTCTTACTTCTCAAAAGAGAGCTATAATGACAACTAACACTGAAGGGTTACTTAAGACATTCAGATAGCCATTACTCAAAAATGGGATTCTCATCACTTGAATTACTTTTGGCATCCCATGTGCCTACGTGTACTACCCTCAGACACTCTCATCGTACCGACTCCATCCATTGCATGCATGTAATTCATTACATATGAGTAATGGATTTCTCATAAAGTCAGTCACATTAAGTTCACCTAGAAGTGATGACTGGCTGGAATGTGGAAGTGGACATACCTCCACAAGTGATCAAAAGTGAAAGTTAACTTGATCCCGAAAAAGCATATTGAGAAAACAGGGACTGAAGTTTTAAAATAGAAAAGACCTTGTAACCATGCAGTTCTCTACAAGAACAGAACTCTTTGCCAAACATCTGTCCTTTTCAAGTGAAGAGCATCTAAACATTCTTTTCATAGGCTATTTTACTGAGAAAAAAAAAAATCTTTGCTGTTTTAAGAGCCTGATACTTAAGTTTTCCCACTACTTGGCTCTCATATGTCTCACTAATTTGCAGGAACGCAATGCATAAAACTGGACTTGCATATTTACAACAAAACTGAGGGCAGTCAACTTTGAATTCAAACATGCCGGTAGAACATAGTTCCTATTCTGTCTTTCCAGCTTCTCCTTACAATTTCACTGTCAAAGATAAGCCTCTCACATTTTCCTATGGAACTTCTTAGACAAAATATACCTATGCAAAATACACCCGGCTCTAACAGTTAAGAATGAACCAGGCTTATACAGGGATGATATTATACAAGCATGCTTTATGTGAACACTCAAAAAAAAAAAAAAGTAAAAATTATTTTCAGCATCTTCCACATACAGTTGCATCTGAAAAAGGATGTCAGTCCACACACAGCCTAAAATCCTTTTTTCAATCTTGGATATAAAGGAATGAGGTACTATGTGCTGTATGCATGCATGTATAAGAAAGATTTTTCCAACCATTTGAAGATCAGTCTTGTAATAGCCCTCCAGCATTGTGAAGGAGAATAGGGAGCATTTATATTTTGACTTATAGACAAATAAGGACACAAAGCCAAGTCCACGTGTTGGTGGCACTGATCTAAAGGATCTAGATCTAAAGGACATAAAACTTACTAAGAAGAAGAAAAGTATCAATGAAGTTCTGTTCAGCTGCTTGAATCCTCTGAAGTTTACCAGAAGGAAAATTCATAATGGCAGAAATACTTACAGTAAGGTCCTTGCAATTAAAAGCTTTCTAGCTAGCTAGACATTCAGGAAAACTGCCTAAACATAGAGAGAGTTCAGAAGAAAAAAATGACTAGAAAGGGTGAAGAACTCCCATGCTGAAAAATAAGTCCCAAGGATACAGAACAGTAGACACTCAAAATGCACTCCATAATATCATATACGGAATAGTTCCCTCACACACTGTATTCATGTTTATCTACAGATACTCCTTAAATTATAGGGTTATTTTAAGATGAAAGTGTTTAAAAATCTAATTGGAAGAATAGGATCTTCTTGAATAAGAATTTGTAAGAAACAGAACCATAACTTCTTTTTCTTGTTTTTTCTACTTAACAAGAAACGTAACTAGTGCCTTAGTGGATGAAGTAACTAAAGTAACTTCATGCAAGTAAAAATTTAGCAAGATAACTAAGAGCTTATCTATGTCATGTATTTGTCAGACATTACAGAAAGCGCCTGGTGTGCAACAGCATACTTCAGTAAATAGACCTTTTTTGAGATGACAGACCGCAAATTGTGCTGATTAGAGAATAAATGCTATGCAATACTGCAGGGTTGGAGAGAACAGTAAAATGGGTGTTTAAGAAAAAGCCTTGTATCGATTTACGTACAGCGGAGGGAAGGCTAATGCTTTTCAGCAAATATTTGAGTGATTTTAAGATCAAATTTAAACTAAATGTTTAACTCTAGAAACCAAAAGCTTAGTCCCTATTCAACAGCACTTAAAAAGCTAAAAAGTAGAATGCCACACCTACACTCCATACTTTGTTCTCCACATTCATTCTCCCCACCTTAGAAAGCCAAGACAAACAGATGAGAAAGCCTCCATGTGACACCACATAGGACTGAGCAAAACAGAACATTTCAATTTCTTACAAGTTGTACACAAAGCCAGAAAACCAGTTTTTAAAAGAAGAGCCAATCAGTGATGTGGGGAAATAAAATGAGTATTTCATTTATAACAAGATCTAACTTCTCTCTCTGATGAGTCTTTTTACAAAGGGTTCAGTCTCATAGGCATTCCAAGCAAGATAACATCTAGTCAGGGAAGAAATAATACTTGCAGCTTAAAAAAAGAAAAAAAATTCTCACTATTTATCCTCCATCTTACTTGCATTGTTCCACTCCAGTATGCAGACAAGTGTTTTCAGTTCTGGTTAGTATTGCTTCTATAATATACATACAGAACAACTAGATTTCTAATTGAAGTCCACACACACATCTCCCCCTTGTACCCTACCAGCATAACTTACCCATGATTAGGATTATCTTTTAGGACACTACTAGTAACCTTAGTGAATTCTCCTGAGTCCTTAATCACCCCATTAGTGAATGACTATTCTTTTTGGAAAAGAAAAGCCTGGAACCCACATGGCCAGAGGCTAAATACAACAGAAAAATTCTGCTTCCCGAGGGGTTTTTGTAATAGAGACAGCACCTCATGAGCTTGTTTCCTAGCTTTAAAAAAAGTTAGGCTATGGTTTGTGCTGAACACACATAGGGATGAGAAATCTTAAGAGGATTCTAAGCACGCCCACTGAACAAGTTTAGACAGGGATTTAAGTTGCTTCATTAGCAAAATCTGAAGCATCTACACATCCACCTGAGTTTTGTTACTTAACATGCCCGAAGAAACAAGACACCTTGACTATAGATGCCAAGATATCCTGCTGTCACACTTCAGCGTATGTGTGTTTTCTCCAGAAGGGATTTTATAAGTCGCTTAAAAACTCCAGTGCCAAACTTCTGTGTCCAAAAGGAACTAATGGCCTAGCAGCCTACAAAAGAGACAGTCTAGACAAGACCTTTAATGAAATTAGTTGTGGAGTGAAGTATACATAACAGAATTTATGCACAGATGTGCTATGATTTGGAAACTAAATTACTGTGGTGGCAGTGGACTCAGTAAATCAATTTAAAATACATGACTGATTAACGTATTTTTTAACGAGAAACCCATAAAGCTGGGTATAAGCTATTCCTCTTCCTTTGTACAAGGAATGCAACCAGCATTGAGCTTTCTCCACTGGGCAAAGCACTGCATAAATCATAGGAAACTGCTACAAGGGCATTCATCTAATTCTATGTTCTAGGAAATGTAATTTTAAAAAGTAACATTTTCTAGGAGAGCATTCTCAGTTTCCAGGAGTAGGCAGAATTTTATATATGCCAGCCTCGTGAAAGATACTTTTTTGGTCTTACTGCAATGTCTAGCGTAACTGTTGTATGCACTTCCTGCTATCATTCAACTAAAATTAATCATTGATAAAGTAACTAGAGAAATTGCCAAAGACAAATTATGTGACTAATGTCATCCAGTGTAAACAAACTGTAAGAACTGAAACTTTTCTAATAGCCACTAATTGACTAATTTGAAGCAGATGAGATCAAATGCCTGCTGAGTTCTGAAAAAATAAAGATCAGCAGTTTTTCTACACACTCAATTTCATTCTTACTTGCTTTTAAGAATAGGTAATGCTATTAGGTATTGCTAAAGGTAATGCTTATTACCCTCCAAGCAGCAAAAAGGAAATGAACAAAGCAGAAGCTCGTACTTAAGTTTCCACTTCAACATAACAAACAGAAGTGAGTTTTCAAAGAAGGGCAGGGGTCAGCAAGGGCAGACAGCAGTGTGAGATATTAGAGATATCTGAAGGTTGGTTATGGGAAATACTGTGTTCTTTCAATTCTTTTAGAACAGGAAGTACTGAGTTTTGCAAAACTAGAACCACAGAGCTTTTATTATGTTTTCCATAAAATAAGCACCTGGAGTTTCATAGCAATAATTTAAGGGTATTATATCCACTGGAACTTTGCTATAGAATTTTAAGTAATTCTAAATCTTGGACTTATAACTATATCCAAGCAAGTACAAAGATGATGAATTTGTATGATTTCAGTAGCATCAACTGGAGCTTCCGTTAACATGTAGAGATCCTACACATTCAGCATACACAGAAATAGTAAAAGTTCAAAATAATAGTTTCAGACACACATACAAAAAGATCTAGAGATCTGATCCTGTTAGCATTCTATACCTGCAACTACAAGAACCAGAGCTCAGTAAGTGAAGTAGTTACAAGATTAAGGTCGCTTTTCAAGACAAATTCAGAAGAGTTAATAGTTTACATGTGATAACAAACATTTCAAATCCGAGAAATAAGAAGAAATACATACCTTAATATATTTGCTACTAAATGCCCTTTCATTCCATATCTATAAAGGAAAAGCAGAAAGCCATTTAGAAAAATCAGGATATGTCAACACATAATGAAATATTTTATTTACGTATATGTAAGACTATACAATCCATTAATGAACTCCATTGTTTAAGTTTGCTAGAGGAAAGTGCTCTGGTTGGTTTTGTTATCAGCTCTTCAGGGGAAAATTCTGTACAAAAGTTCAAAATAAGCTTGTTTATCTATCTCTAAGGTCTACTGATTGCCTTCTTGCTGAAAAGAACTCCAGAGCTACTTGAGCTCTACAATGCTAGCAGTGTTTCCCCATTTTTAGTAATGAGTCTACAGTTTGTTAAGAAATTATTGAGAAACACATTGTGGCTTCAAGGTGGGGTCCTAATGAATGAACACGGACATAGGAGAGCTAGAATAAGTTACAGTTGCCTACAGTTTCAGGGAGTCATTCAATTGCACTTAAGAGTTCTTCCTAAGTATGGACTAAATCCATACTTGAATACAGAAGACATCCAGCATAATTTAAGGAAACAGACACAAAACATCTAATTTCTGTTGCTCTGGATTTTCCATCATTTATGGAAAGGGCATTTAAGCTAAACACATCTCAAAATTCGAAAGCAGGAATGCTCCTGCTGGTCCTCCTTTCTACCTAATAACCTGGCCAATAAAAATGCATTGTCAGAAACCTTATTTATTTCTTTTTTTTCTAACCACAACATGAATGCTGTGACTCACAGTCACCAGTAAAGGTGAAAGTATCCCCCTGCAGATGTAGCGTACCTGACCATGTACAAGCAGACAGTTTCTTGCAGGTGGGATGTGTCCATTTGATTTTGATATTTCTAGATCTTTCCATAAGTGCTAATACATGACTTCAGAAATGAGCCAAGCAAAAAGTTACTTACTGAAAGGCTTGTTTCATCATAAAGGAAATGATATATAAGGCATGCTATCAACCAGAAGTGCAGTAACGGCTAACAATGTAGAATCAGAACAGCATCAAAATAATTTTGACAGTTTCTGAGCCTTCACAGACCTGTCTTCCTGTCTTTCTGTCTTTCAGATCATACCCACAAAGAAGTCAGACAATATGCAATGTCACCACATTTCCTGAAGAAGCAGAAATCCCCTTTTCTTAGAAAGACAGAATTCAGAATTCACTGTGAAGTAGCAACACAGAAGCCAGACATTACTCAAATATGTAAGGTGCAGAACTTAATTTTTCTCCTTGCTGTACTATTGGAGTAGAAGGTAACTGCAGTTGTTCTCCCTGTCCCCCCAATTGAATTGCTAAATCACTATGTTACCCAAAATGCAAGACTGACACAGCTGAAATAAGTCAGCAACATTGAGGGGGATGCATTCCAGAGTAGATACACATCAGATACACCTTCCCACATCACAGTAGAAAGGCCAAACTTCCTTTGAGGGATGGGAAAGATTTCTTTCACTTTGGACTGCTGAAGTGATTTTCAGCTTTTCTGCAGTTAAACAACTGCCTTATATCAAAACACTTAGAAGTCCAAAATAAATGTTTCAGTAAGTATAGGGCTGATTTTAGAGGGAACCTAACCAAACATTTTCTTAATTAGAAGAAAAAACAAAACATTGAAATCTTGGTCAAATAATAAACTTGAAAAGTGTTTTTCTTGATTGCTTCTCTCTCATCTCCAAATTATGACATTTTTTCTCAGATATTTGTTCACTACTTCCATATATTGCACTTTAACACAATACTGGAGTTACAATTTACTGTAACACATGCCCTTCTGCAAAACAGGGACTGTATTTTATGCCAAGAAGTCATGTTAGCTGACTTTCATAAACTCTTAACTAATGCTTTTTGTTAGCTGGTAACCGCTGAAATCCAAGCAGAACAAGCAAGGCAGAAAATTATAAGCCCAAGACTCAAACAGATTTCAGAATTCTCAAATTCTCGGGTACTCTAGGACTTTGTTCTAGAATTGGTAAGAGAGGAGACTAGCACCATTTTGCACTGGTTCTGCTTTAATGGACATGATTGCAGAACAACTGTAAACTAACATAACTTCTGCCTTCCCCTTGCAACAGAAAACACTAAAACTGCAATTACAAAACAATTTCACTTCCCATCCCCCTCTTCCAGTAATCAAAGAGAGACAAGACCAAGATTTGACAAATGAAGAAAGATCAAATATACAGGAGATTTTGCTTAATGAAGAAAGATCAAATATACAGGAGATTTATACAGGAGATTTTGCTTTACTGACCCCGATATAATCAATGTCCAAATCATGATACTGTTTAGCTCCTAATATCCAAGAAACAACATAGTAAGCAGTGACATCTGGATAGTCATAGGGCCAGTTTTCACCCCTCCCTATCCACCCTGGAAATGTCCAAGGTAATCCTGGAAAAAGAGAAAAAGACCAAATGAGTAAGATAAGCAGTATGAAGGAGTAAATACACACTTCAAATTCAAATAGTTCCAGTGAAGACATTGAAACACAGCTTATTTAACTAGTATAACTAGTATGCTCTCACAGAAACCACATTCAAATAGTTCCAGTGAAGACATTGAAACATAGCTTATTTAACTAGTATGCTCTCACAGAAACCACGAACAAACATATTAATAGTTGCCTTTTTTTTTTATGATCGAAACCATAATTACTACAGAACAACTGACTACATTCAATCTTACTGTTCTGTGATATTAGCTCTAATAGGTTTAACATTATAAACATTTTAGGACAAAAGTTTATGAAGTTATAGACAAGGGATCAATACCAAAAACCAAAAAATTGTTAATCTCCTGAATATGAATTTCAGAAGTGATGATCTGATCATAACAGAGGAAGAAAGATTAGGATCATGAAAAAGCATTTACTACTTCTTGTAGTAAAGAAGAATAATAAATTAACCTAACCAGATCCTCTAAGTTTTCAACTGACTTTGTGTAAGACACAACAGGCCAATTCAATGACAAACCCACCTTTCTTTGTTGAAAGCTTGATCCGAGGGAAGACAGAAGTTATTAATAACCACAATTAGTCACAGAGACTCAGCCTACTGCTTGTGACAGTGCTTGTTTAACAGAACCTGACTAGCAAATCCTGCACCAAGTCATGCCTTGTGGCTGGATGTGGCAAAGCCTGATCCCTGGAGACGGGGGCTTTAGATGCTTTTTAATTGACAGATTTCTTACCTTGTTTCATGGGAGATACATTTTATTAATTGTTTCAATTAAAATCTCGAGTTCCACATTTGTACTGTCACAGCGCACACACAACCCATGATCAAAACAGGGAGACAGGGAAGTCCTCTTACAGCTGAGCTACATACGTTAGACAAATCAGCAGACAAGAACCACTACAGTGTGGAGGGGGTCACTGCTTTGCAGTAAGAACATATAATTGAATTTAGCGCATATAAGATCTACAGGTTTATACTTCCTGTAAATTTACTCCCTTTTTTTTTTTACTCTATTATTCATAAATTCACCTTTCATGAGAAATCATTTATGCACATTGCTATGTGATACAATGCAAGCATTAATGTTACTTGATACAAGTAAATGATCCTATGCTACTCGGTGCACTAGCACAACCTAACAATGTTATGCTACTGTAACAAAGTACAACACGGTAAGTTTGAGTAAAGCATCAACGCAAGCTCACCGAATACTACTGATTCTACTTGGTCTACTGCAAAAATAAAAAATCATATGCCCATTAAAATTATTATGCTAATTACAGGTGAGATATGTAATTTAGCTGGGGGGGGGGGAAAAGCATTTAAGTCCTAAAGTTCGAAGCAATTTACCAATCAGTTTAATGTTTGGATTCCTCTTTTTAGCTTCTTTCATCAGCCACCATTCATAGCCCCGGAAGTAGTTCTCATCATTTTCATAGTGCATATGGGAGGGTTCAGTGCCATCTAGGAAGGAAAGAGACAGGTAGCTCACAATTATCTTCTGTGTCATGCACTGTTACACATTATAAGTCTTCTGTATTGCTCACTGCCATGGTATGCAAGCACATATCTCCCACATGGTTCACACGTTCTTTGGTATGTATTTCAAAGCAAAATGACCAGCTGGAGGGAATACGCAAGACTTGCCACCCTTCATTCTTAGCATAAACTTAATAGTTTTAAGGGACTATGCCTGCTTTTAACATCAGAATGTGATTGGACATTTTCTATCCCCAGCTATCATAATACTAAATCTATATTCATGATTATTTTGATCCCAAAAACCACTAGGAAAGTTACAGCATTAAGATCAGGAGGGGAAAAAAAACCCATAACTTTTGTAGAAGTGGGTTATATATAAACCAAAAGGCAAAGAGAAGAAGGTTATAATTGTTTATAGTTTGTTTCTTTTGTGCAAGGCAAGTCCAAGGAGAGAAGAGAAAGGAAGTACAATGAAATGAAAGAGATTTTTCTTTTTAATTATTTTTATAGTAAAAGATCCAGTTTATAATTTCCATGTTGCTTTGTGACTGCAGGAAGTTTTTGAATTTGAAGGCTGGGCACTGAATTCCCTCAGGCAAAGCTAAACAAACTAGAAAAGTGCAAAAGAATCAGTGCTCTATGGGAAGTCATTACACATAAAAAAAAATAAATTAAATTAATAATAAATTAATAACTTGTGCACACAACTGCAACAATTACTCATGCTAAACTATATGTCTAATTGTTTCAGAGATCTCTTTTGATGAGGCTTTTTTTTTTTTTTTAATGAAGCCTGCTGAAACAGCACATTTCATTACAGAAAATAGGACTGATCTTTGCTACCTTACTAACACCTAACTATTCGGAAGTTCTATCTGTCAGAGACATAGAACAACAATTATAGACCAAACTTAAGACTTTCATTGATCACACTTCAAACAGACTCCTTATCACACCTCTGACGTCAGGATAAGAACTGCAGTCCAGCATGTTAAGACATATGCATCTTATTTGTTCTCCTTCTAAAATCTAGAAAGGCATCAAACATGTATTTAACATTCCCCTTAGCCAGAAGCAAGAGTTTTTGAAGAAAAGGTCTTAGCACGCATGAAGACGACTTCATTCTCCTCTAACGAACAATTTGTTGACCAAATACCGAGCACTTAAACCCAGAATAGTACTTTTCACCATGTTAATTTCTCTTAAGGGAAGTAAAGCACAGAATGAAAAACAGCATCCCATAGACATTTAAAAAAAACATAAAATGCCGCAAAGAGAGATGCTATGCTTTCTATTTATTGAGTCTGCTTTAAGTCTGTTTCTGACGTGGCCAGGACTTACTTTTAGGGGTGAGGGGAAGATAGAAACTGTAGTTTAGTTACTGCTTCTCAGCTTCCAATCACAAGCAGCTACAGTTTCTCCTATATGAAAATATCGTAGACTAGGCAAATTACACCAAGACATTTTCATTTGCAATTGTGGCTAGGCAAAAAAAACAACCCGTAGTACCTACTGTCAGACAATGCCACTCCAGTGAAATGTAGCAGCTCATTAAATCAAAGAAACAAAATTGCTTCTCACCAGCTGTCTTTGCATTTATTTTCATGCTTTTAGGATATAAACTACCTAGTCCTACACAAGTTTTACAGTTTGTGGTACAAAACTGGTCTTTGAGAAATGCTCTGCAATTCAGAAAGCTACTAGAGCTTCCTAAATCTTGAGGGGAGGAGGAAAGGAAGGAAGAAGGACTCATTTGTTCTAGAATGCATCCTATTAACCATATGATAGAATTATCTCCAGAATGTTAGTGCAAATTTCTCTTCTACAAGTTAGTATTCATTGTTGCAACTACAGAATGCCTCTCAATGCTTCAGCTCAGTGACACACGCAAGACATGCTGCTTACAGCATTACTGCAACAAGAAGTTAAGCCCTGCTCATGCAAAATCCATACCTGTTGACTGACCATCACCTCCAATCTCTACTTTGAGGATATGTAAGGAAGCACCAAAATTTGGCTAGAAAAAGATAGACAGAAAAACAAACAGAATTTTGCTGTTAACAAGAAGAATGCAATAAATAAGTGTATAATTTTGAGGGTGCTAAAAATTCAATACTTTTTTTTAAACATCCCTTATAGATGCAATGAGAGATTATACAAAATTCTGCTTCAAAAGGAAATCAAGTAAAATAAATAGTACATTTAGCTGTAGTCAGTTTCACTGACTCTTGCACCATTAATGACACTTCTCTCCAACTGCACAAATTTTAAAATGGTTATGCTCAAGAAAACACTGAAGCGCTCTTAAAGTAGGACAATGGCTATATGAAGAATACAGTATTTTTGACGCTATTAGATGTCAAGTTCATTTTCTTTTGAAATCAAATTACTGAAGTTAATATTTCAGTAAAAAATGTATTATGTAAAGGATTACACTGCTTATGTGAAAGAGCATATATATGGGTCAGAAATAACCTGCTAACAACAGACAGGCAAAAGAAAAAAAAAACCCCATACTGGAAAACAAATGGCCACCTAGTCCACTATCCTCTTCCCCTGGCATCTGACTGGTAGAGCAGAACATAAAATTCAAGCTCATGCAGGTGATCCTACTCCTAGTATGTTCTTCCAGCCATTAGTGGCTTTAGAGTTGCTCAAGCCAGAATTTACAACTAATCATTATTTTAATAACCACTAATGAGCTGGCCTCCTCCATGGCATTACCCAAGTATAATTTTGGCATTCAAAAAAAACTTTTAAGATGTGAAAATGCAGTTTGATTAAAAAAAAATATGCTGCATAGACAATAATTTGTTTGGCCTACAAGTTTGGGATTATATTTGTTTTTAAATAAGAAGCAAATATTCCCAATTTACCATTTTTCTTCCTGACATTTCTGATTTTAAACTTTTAATGCATTTGCTATCCCATCCCCATCATGAAACCTGAATGACATTAAAAGACAAGAAGGATGAGGCAAGGTATACCCCTCCCAGGTATCTCATGACAGCTTAAGATGTTTTGATGAAAGAACATGTCAAAAATTCTTTGAAGATCATGATCTTTCAGCTAGATTGTCTTTTATCACATGCCTGTTGATTCCTTCAGAAAACTCATATTTTTAAACACACAGCTTCAGTCTCCAAAAAACATAGGGTTTGATCCCCCTTATGCCTTACTCTATCCTTTACAACCAATTCTTTAAGCTACACAGTAAATTATTCCCCTCCAGCCATCTGGATTACACTACTTGAAAGTGACATGACATCCTCTTCCAGCAGAGTAATTTACAGTGCCAAAAGCAAAACAAGTTATTACCGTCCAGTGCAATAATCCTACCATATTTTAAATTGGGTAACTCCACACGTTACACTTGCTTACTAAAGCATCTTACAAACCAGTAACATTCACACACCTTTCTAGAGTAACTGCACTTATACTTGAGACTAGTTTGAAGTAGATATGTTATTAAAATGCTGCCGTCTGCACAGTCATTTTCACATTATGTGAATCTATTTGTACCCCCCAAAAAAATAAAAATCAAAACTGCCTCCAAGACCGACTTCCTACACCTGCTAGGAAGAGCTAAACCCCCTTTTTTAGCCACAAAAACAATTTAATCCTCTTTACACCCACATGGATGCCAAAGTATGTTGAAAACTTATTTTTAAAACGTATCATGAAAACATGAAAGGAATTTTCATAATAATTTGAAGAAACAGGCTCCTGAAAAACATGCTAAAAACAACAACTAAAATTTAAGGTTCTGATAAAAGTCAACATTAAAGTAGATGTTTTACAAGATAGGATTTTATCTCATCTCAAGTAGTACTGAATATACTATAGCAGTCCCAACATTACACAATAAGAAATTTTCCATGAAATTAGACATTATTGCAGCGTTGAAACCAACTTTACCTTGAACAGATAATCTAAAATCTGGGAGCGATAGGGTTCTTGGTAGTTCACCAGGAGTCTAGATGTGGCCTAAAATGGAAAGAAAACATAACAATATGAAAAACTAACTTTAAAATATGTAAAAGTACATCCCAGTTCATCAGTCTACGACTTTCACATAATTAATAAACCTACAAAAATAATTATTGCACCAGCAACTCGGCTAAGCACCTGTAAAACCTCTTTTATAACATTTCAATTTTGCTCTTCTGGTTGCGTAGATTGCAATTGCCTAGTACTCCGGTTGCCTGCAATTTACAGCAGAGTACAGAGACTAGAGAAACAAAGAGAACTTACAAACTTATCATAAGCAAAACACAGCCCCTTCCCAGCACCTCTTCTCCGGCTCTACTCAAATCCCCCTGCTTTGGCTCACTGTATACTAAAGGCAACAGGGGCTCACGGAGCACACAGGTGGGAGGGCAAGGAAAGCACCTCAGCAGGTCCAAGAGCAGGTAAGAACTCGCAGGAACTCACGGCTCTGCTCACTGGACCACTGGAAAGCGTACAACTGTCTGTGGGCTCATCCAACATTTTAGAACTCATAGAGACAACCAGCCAGGACGACCCACCACAGAAAAAAAATCCCCCCTGACTTAGCTTTCCCCCAAAACCACAGAGTATGTGGCCGGCTCTTGGCACCCCAGGCAGCCTGATAAGAGCCACTGAGCCCCCCTGATCGGGGGACAGGCAACACCAGGGCCCAGCTCCAGTTCTCCCCGCAGTCAGGACCACTGCCCCCACAGCTCCCTCACCTCCTCCTGCCCTCAGAGCTCCCATAGAACTCTCCCTGCCAGCCCTCACGGCTCCCCTCAGAGATGCCCCCAGCCCTCACGGCTCCCCTCAGCGCTCACGGTTCCCCTCAGAGACGCCCCCAGCCCTCACGGCTCCCCTCAGAGACCCCGGCCCAGACCCCGCCGGCTAGCACTGGAGCCACCAAACACCCCCTCTTGATGGAACCCCCCCCCCCGCCCCCGCGAAGCGTCCGTTGCCACCGCTGCCCCGAGGAGGACATTGCCACCGGAGCAGCCCCCAGCGCCGGCCGGCGCCGCTCACCCCGCCGCCGCTGATAGCCCCGATCCCGTCGAACTCCCTGCCCAGCCCGCCGAGATCGTCCAGCACGTAGGTGGCCGCCGAAAGCGCAGCGGCACCGACCCCGGGGGGTCCCAGGCCCCAGTTGCAGATAAGCAGGAGCCAGCCCCACAGCAGAGCAGCGCACCCCATCCCGAGCCGCTCCGCTCCGCGCTGCCGACAGCGTCCCAGCCGCGCCGTCCCGTCCCTACAGCAACTCGCCACTGCCCGGCACCGCGCCTCACGTGACCGCGTAACCTGGCAATCACCCGGAGGGGGCGGGGCCTGAGCGCCCCTGGCCGCCATTTTGCTAAAGGGAAAAGCTTTCAGCCCTTACGGGCAACCCCAGCGCCCCCAGTGGAAGTTAGTGGCGGCCATTTTGAGAAAGGGCAAGGCAAGTGCCGGTTGGTGGGAAGCGTGCCGCCATGCTGGGGTTGGGCACGGAACAGCGAGTGAAGCTATGGCGGAGCCATCTTGGGTGTGGGACAGCTGAGGCGAGGCGGGGTGTGGGCGTCGCGGCGGGACAGGGAACAGGGCTATTACGTTTAGTGCTGTAGGTTGTGAGAGCTACACCAGACTGATCGGGTTTTTCGGGGCAGTTTTCTTGGGAGAGAAGTGGTGTTTCCCAGTGAATCTCCCATTTCCCGGCCCTCGCCAGCACCCAATTTCCTGGCTTTGGGCCGCTCTCAGGCTGCCACTGAGCCCTTGTACAGTAGGCAAAAACCGGCACTCTGAAGGAGAAAACTCCAGCACGCTGTAAGAAAGACCTTTGACTGCTGGCACAGGAAGAGGCAGGGAGTGGCCCTGGGGCACAGGGCCAGGCCCGGAGAGGCCCTGCCCCAGAGAGGGATGCGGGCAGCCCCGAGGCCTTCCCAGGGAGTCCCAGTTGGCACCAGTTAGATCAGCAGCTGCCTTGGCAGGCCACCAGAGAGGGATCCTGAAAGTGGGTTTTGACTTGCCCTGCTAGCAGGGCTGAACGAGCCTTTCTGTTTTACAGCCTTCACTGGGAAGGCAGCAGGGCAGCCTCATAAAAATACAAGATGGTGCCATGCCACATGTTAAAAGTCCATGAGGATGGCCAGGGAGTTCCCCCAGACTCCAGCTCTTGAAAGCATTCCGTGCAGAGGAAAGGTAATCAGGAGATTGGTGATCAGCTTCATTATCCTATAAAAATCCATAACGGAGCTGTGTTTTACGGAGGTAATGCTCCATGTGCTTGAAGGAGGAATTGCACTGGGAGATGCAGTGGCAGATGTCATGCGGGCAGTGTGTCAGAGCTGTGGAAAAGCCCAGGTTTTGCATGTTTCTGGCCATAAAGAATGCTGTTGTTCGAGTCACTGCCTCTTGTCATTGAGGGATCAATGCCTCAGTGATGACATTACCTGACTGATGTTTCCTGTTTATTTCTTTTTCAATAACAATACCAAACACTCACAAAACATTCTGCACTTTACAGCAATATCAAGCATTAACTAATGAACCTGCTCACACCCAAATGAGCTATACATTGTCATTATTACACGCAGAAGGGCAGAGTGACTTCCTCAAGGCTACAGTGAGTCAGTGGCAGAGGTAGAATTATGCTCATGGTCCTAATTTACATTCATTCCAGCAGACTGTACAGCTTTGCATGCCTGGAAGGTTTGCAAAATCATCATGAATTATTGATTAGCTAATTTTGATAATTTCTTAATGCATCAAAGGCTTCAGCTTTGGAATTCAGTCTCATATTCACTCATAGGAGCATGAAAGTGTCAGCTTTTAAAACTCTTATTTCCATCCTATGATGTACTGAGTGCCTCCCCTTCTCAGTTGGTATAGAAGAACATCCTTAGAATCTGTTTTCGTGTAAAGAGGACATTTTGGTGGGACTCTGAGGACTTCTATTCTGCATTGGGAATCTCGACCTTGTTTTTTACCTATTTTTTTCTTTACACCTTTGTCCATGACCCGTGATTTGACATGACCCCTTGTAAGCCCAAATATAACCAATAAAATTATTGAGGATTTATTCATTGCTTCTTTTGTATATAAGATACTTTTCCACTGTTAATGGTTTTCTATGACAGTTGTTCTTTCCTGATAGTACTTTAATCTCAGCCAACCCAAAAAACACCTGCTGTTCCGAGATGACTGATTTGAGATACTGTATATGTCCAGATCTCCAAAAAAGCCAGGGAAACTGTGCTGCTTGCATCAGAAATTAAATTATTCCATATGGATCCATGCTTTTTGCATATAGCTTTACTTCCAGGAAGTATAAAATGCATCATGTCCCCTCTTACTTCCATTGATCTTTCACTTCCAATATCAGTCGTTACAGTGAAGAACTGTAGATATGTATCAATCAACTATGTTTCTCTATTTCTAATAATGATAAGAGCTGCTTTTTCTTCAGTGAAGTATAGGAACCCTCCACAGAACAGCAGAACCAGCTCACCAGACATTGTTTTTAGTAGGTACCATGTTAGGAAAAGGCAAGTAAAAAATGATAAAACAGGTCTTTGTCTAATGACTTTTCCCTCAGTACAAATAAGTGTTTGACTGAAATTTTTTATATAAATTAATGTAACCGAGTGACTGGAAAGTCTCCCTTTCACCAAACTGGAGGGGGCTATCATATCAGTTCAAGAATGACCACAGGTAGAATGATTTGATAATTTAGGCTTCATATAAGAAGTGCATCAGTAGAACAACTGGATGAAAAAGTCATGCTCTGGCTGGAAAAGGGAAGGAACCAAATCTCTCCATTCAGTGCTGAAATATTATAGAGCTGCCTGATATCGTTCTCAAGGAAGTCAGTATGTGCTATTTTAGAGCTTTTCAGTTTGCTCATCTGTTTCATTTCTCCTTAGCATCTGAATCATCAAACAGGCCAGTTTTTGTGTTACCCAATAGATAAGTGGTTGTAGAACTTCTAAAGTGAAGTTGTAACCAGTTTCTTAGAAACTGAACTGAATTGTTCCATACAGAATTTAAGAAAAAAAAATCAGAGTGCACAATAAGTTACTCGGGTCTGGAAGAGAGAAACTCTGCTCATGTAACGATTTTCCACCCATCTAATTGAACAGAATTATCTGTTAAAAGAATCACTCTTGTGAAAGGAGTGAAAGAATCACTCCTATGCTTCCAACCTCAGATTCAGTTTATATAAAAATATATAAATATGCGACCTGTTGCAGTGCATAAAATTCTGTTTTCCTTTGTTATCTAGAACTGTTCACAAACTTCCTCCCATCGGGAGGCAAAAGGAAAAAAAAGTCAGTAACACAAATTCTGAAAATAATTAATTTTTTTTTGGCAAACTCCTAATATCATTGTGATATATTTTTATGGGCTCTTCTTAAGTGGATTCTTATTTGATTCTGTGACAAGTCTGTTGGGAAAGGCAAGTGACAAGTCCTTCAGTCCAAAAAAAGACCCTATGTTTTGAACATATACAAGTAAACACAAATAAATACATATACGCTCCACAGTATTTTATTTCTGTGGAGTAGTTTCTCTGCAGAATGTATCACATCCTAAATAAGAGGTTTTTATTATACTCATGTAATTATGCAATATTTTCAGTAAAACTTTTAAACTTAGTAAAAGTATTGCTCGATTTAGCAAGGTTGCTTTGTGCATACATCTATGTCTGTTAGCTCTTTTCCCATGAATAAGTTTAGATTAACAAAAAATAAATAAAAATAATAATAATACGAGGAGTTGAGACAAGTGTGAGCTGTTGCCTTATTGGCGTATTCAAGAGCTGCTTCCTGTTGCTTTATCTGATGAAGCCGTTTTTCTCCTCAGACGCAGACACGGGTTTCACTACCCATGGCATCACTGCGAAACTGCGACATGGGGACACATGGCTGCCTGGGTAAGTGTTCAGAATCTAAGAACTCAGATATACAGCTTGTGTTCTGGTGCAGATTTCAACCTGGCTCTCTCTTAATGCTGTGCTGACATCATACAACAACAAGGAGGGACACAAAAGGGGCTGGGAAAGATTTCTTCGGGAGAGGGAGTGTTTCACTCCCAGCACAAGTGAAATGTGAGACAAAAGGGCAGATGGCATCAAAAGGTTGAATTAGGGTAGACATGCCGGCTTGATTTATTTTTGTAATTGTTGCCATCATCAAAATACCTGTCGCTTAGGAGAGAGGGGAAGGATGGAGAAGAGTGTTTGGGGGTCAGTTTTCAGGATTTTGAGCTGTCTTCACTGCAAAAAATGCCTCAGGCCTCACAGGGGGTTATAGCCAATAGCTCTGCTGTTATTGTTCTTTAATATTTTACAGCACTAGCAAGGTACTCATGAGGAAAAGTGCAGTTCATTTGAAGTAAAAATGTCCATGTTACTGAAAGGCATATTTCAACTCTCCTGAACTTTAAAGTTTCTTCAGAATTAAGTTTTGAGATCTGCCCATTAGGAAAAAAGATCCAGCTACGGGAGGTCCTTGTCAAGGTTCCCTTGACTTGGGGAAGTCGGATTGGCACTATAACTTACTTTGGGAACACAAAGCAATCTACCTTGTTGAAATCGCTTTGAGAGAAAAAAGAAATCAAGAAACCATCTGTCCTTCCAGCTTATGGCTCATATACAGTAACACCAGTACAGCAGCTACTGCACTAGTTTACTCAACATTGCTTTCTCCCTCTGAAACTTAATAAAAAACAAAGTACATGTAAAAACTTACCACTTTATAATGAATATTACTTACAGCAACTTGCCATTTCATGAAATTGAATTTGTAATAAAGGGGAATGTATCAGTTGCAGATGTTTCCAAAATTATACTGGTGTTTATTAGCTAATGGAAGATTTTATTTTTTTAAATTACTGACTAAACTTTTCTGTTAATTAAACAATTTCCTTACAGTCTTCTTCATCTTTCCTAATTTCCCAAACTACAGCAGAATTCAAGTATCTGACTCTTCCATTCTTCCCTTAGAAAGTTGTTTACAGATAACTGTATGGAATATCGTTTGGTATTTGTGCTTATGAAAGTATATATTTATACTCACTTTGTTGCTTTCAAAATGTCATAAATGGAGAGACTGCATAAAGCCCTCTGAATCTGAAATGTAGGAATGCATCAATACAAATAAACGTGTAATGAGCACTTTCAGAAACGTTCACCAGGTTCCTTTACAGGCTTGTTTGCATACAGTTCTTGAAGCATAGCATTTGCTAATCCATTTCACTAAGTTTAATGTCTGACTAACTTTTTTCAGAGTTCTTGTATGGCAGGTTTTCTGTAGCAAAATGATAAAGAGACAGGGACAACGATAATCATTTAATAATGTGGCTAAAAGATAAAATTACTGTTGAGATTATATCTGATACCAAAACAAGTCTATAAAATAAGTCACAAGTTTACAGAATTAGTCACAATGGGTTTGGACCATGAAAGTCAAACCAGACTATGTCCTCGATAGTTTTTTAGAAAAAAATTAACAATTGGGGAAAATTATCAAACATTGTGTTTTAGGGTAGCTGTAAACCAATACCAGCAGGTACGCTCAGTAGCTGAGGGAAAACCTGGGAATGCTTCAGACCACACCTTCAGGTAAGACATATCATTTTTTGCATTGCATAATCCTAATTATCAGAAAAAACCTAAGCAAGGGAGTATGATATGGACCACATACCCTGAGATAAGGCCCCAGGTAACTAAAGAAATGTGTTGTAATCAGAGCAAAACAATGCTTTCTCCTTTTATGTTTCTGTGCAAGAAACTGCAGCCCACATTGTGGTACGCCGCATTTGCTGGCTTGTTGACACACTTCAGTATAGGTCATCAGTACGTGCCAGAATGATACACTTCTTATTATTCTTATTGAAAGCATGGCCTCATGTAAAAGCTGGGACATGGATATTACTTGAGGAATTTCAGACAGCTTCCACGGCTTTGTTCATAGAACCTATTGATGATATTGATTGAAAAGAAAACCATGGGGTACAGTGGCCTGTGAACAAGAAGGACAGAAAAAAATTGCCAAGGTGGCCAATTTCACCTGGTCTCAACTCTCTTCTTTGAATCCCATCTTCAGTGTCCCAACCTGCCATTAGGCAGTTGTATCTTAGATATTAGTTCCTTAAGGCAGGTGGCAGAAGACCAAAGCAAGGTCTTTCCCCAAAGAACATGCTGTATATTCAGGCAAGTGCAATATAAGGACAAGTGTTTTACATTATAATCAGTGATATCAACAGAGGAAAACTTGTAGAAACTGAGCTGAAAAGAGAAAGCTGAAGAAAAAAAGGGTGGGCGGAGTGAAGAACTTGGCATGTTGGTCTGTGAGTAGGTATGAAAGAGCTGATAAAGGTAACTGTAAGAGGAGCTGTTGTGAGTAACAGGGAGACAAGTTGGGCGCTTGTAAGGATGATGAATCTGTAATATAACAAGTCAACTAACAATGGAGAAAGAGTTTGTGGGGGAGGGAGAAGGAATTCCAGTTTCTCAGTCACGCGACTAGTAAACACTGCCTCATACTCTTGCTACACTACACACATGCTTCTGAAAGGGCACGTTTCCCTGTTAGACATGAAGAGACCTGTCATAGGAAAAGAAATGCTAAAATGTGATTAGGAAGAAGAGGTAGGTATTTTATCTTTTACTCATCTGTTTGCTTTGCTTTTGTTGAGAAGTGGGTCATCAAAACCCTGGGATCTAGTTTCTAGAACTAGGTTTTTAATTCATGATTCTTATCTATACTGGTAAGCTTACGATGACCTGTTTACTGTGTGGTTTTATTAAACCACACTGAAAAGCAGATTACTTATGTTTTTTTCTGAAATACAGATGCTGCGGTTTTTTAATTAGTCATCTTGTAAGTGAAGCTGCTCAATGGACCAAATTGGCAAGTCCTTCTCAAGAATTTTCCTTGTGTTTTAAGCCCATGAATGAATTTAGCTCTAACTGTGAAAGTTAGCCAACTTGATTAAATAAAGCAGTGGCTGGTAAAATTAAATATGTGCTTTTTGACTAGTTTTGTCTCTGAATATGCATGAAAGTTAGTTTTTTGTGGAAAAGAGATCCAACAGAGGCAATTAACTCTGGGCAACAACAAAGGCAAGTATCTGGGTTTCTCTGGTAAACCCACAAACCTACACACACACATCAAATTGATAAAAGGCAAAATGAATTTGCCTATGACAGGGAAAAAGCCCTGCACCCGAGCTGTCTTCAGTTTGAACTGTTTCCTGTGTGGGAGCAGTGTAGACAGTAGACTGCTCGCTCTCCACTCTCTTCCACCTCCTCTGCTGGCGTCTAGGCTCAAACCACAAATTAGTTATCACAGGCAGATGTTATTAGTTAGAGAGGCAGTCTGTGAAGGAGTTGGTGTATTTGGGAGTAGAACTGGACCACAGCAAGTATTCCCGATTCTCATATTTCCTGAACTTAACAATTACGTATTTGGTGGAGAGAATTACTGAGTGTCAGAGCTGTGACATTATCGGTGGGTACCGGCAGTCTCATGGCTATGATTTTACACCCTGTCTTACTTAAAGGTCAGCTCTTCTAAGAGCTTCTAACAGTCACACATGCAACTCCTCCAGTCCCACTGCTTTAGTCAGGGCTGCCCTTTTACTGGTATTTTCATGGTGAAGGTGTTGACACCCACAGCCCTGGTAGTGCCTAAGATAAGCTTAATTGCTAATGATTTTATAAACTCATGCATGGCAACTGCAATTCGTACAGGAAAAAAATATAAATGAAAAATTGTACTCAGAGAATCTTAACCTCACATGAGTCTGATACCCTGGCAGATTCTGCTGTGCATGCAGGAACCCAGTAGCCTGCCAGGTTTCACACAAGGGTTCCTGGGACACACAGTGAGCTTTGCTGGAATAGCAATGCTGGAATAGTTGATGTTTTTTTGGGATCGCATACAAAGAAGGGGAGGGGAAGTGGGGAAGTGTGAGGATGCGACAAGGGAGTAATTCGCAACAAGGAGACATACCAGCCACACATTCTACTCTTCTGAGTAGATCCCAGCATCTAGTGGTACCCGAATCCTTGTCTTTCTGTCCTTGCCTCTCCATTCCTTAGAGGGGAGGAGGTTACTGCAGATAAAAAATCTATCATATTCATATGGCCAAAACCCTATTCTGCTCACCAGTATAATAGAAAGTGCACGCGTCCTGCTTCTGCTGTAGAAGCTTGCATCTGACTGACCTTGATCACCTTAGACATTTGGGGTACTCTTCTTATGCTCTCCAAAATGCAGGAGTGTTTAAAACTTTCAGTCTCGTACAAACACATTTTCTTTCTTCTAAAAAAAAAAAAAAGACACCAATCAAGAAGCCCATAAAAAACAAACAAAAATGTTGTTATAGCTGACGTTTCTCCTTTTTGGTAACAGAAGGCTGGAATCTTACCAACCAGGTCCTGAAGAACTAACAGAGGACCACCCATCAGACTACAGAGGGTTTTTTCTTGCATCCAGGCTGGAGTTAGCCCAAAGATACTACTGAGGGTGGACAATGAACAACACTGCTAAGTGCCATGATGATCACACCCTGGATAAGTATTTGTTTCCATTTGTGTACAGCGTTGTGATGATAATCAGTATTCCCATCAACTGCCTATCCCTCTACGCATCTTGCGTTCAGGTGAGGAAGAAGAACGAGCTAGCAGTCTACCTCTTCAGCCTGTCCCTGGCTGACCTTTTGTACTCTCTGATCCTGCCTTTGTGGATTGATTATGCCTGGAATGGAGATAACTGGAGGCTCTCTGCCTCGCTTTGTCGGATTTCTGCCTTCCTTATGTATATGAATTTCTACACCAGCACTGCGTTCCTCGCTTGCATTTCTCTTGACAGGTACCTGGCGTTAGTTCACCCCTTGAAGCTCCAGCGCTTGCGCACAAGAAGATTTTCGTTGATTGTCAGTGTAATTGTTTGGTTTCTGGAAAGCATCTTGAATTCAGTCATATTGGTGAAAAAAGAAGTATTCAATGATCCTTGCAATTTCACTAACCATACATTATGCTATGATAAATACCCCCTGGAATGGTGGCAGGCAGAGATAAATTTGTTCCGGATATGCTCAGGGTACCTGGTCCCTTTGATAATCATTGTGTTTTGCTACCATGAGATCTACCGAGTAGTGAGAGGTAATCAAGCCACAGTAGATGAAGAAAAGAAAAAAGTGAGGAAGCTAATTCTGAATATCACAGTTACTTTCATTGTTTGCTTCACTCCTTATCACGTTATGTTGCTTATTCGCAGCATCAAAGAACCTCACACCAGTGACCCACAGGTTTTGCAGTCGATGTATAAGGTTTACAGAATCACACAGGCTTTAACAAGTTTTAATTGCATTGCCGATCCCATTCTTTACTGCTTTGTGAGTGAAACTGCACGAACAGACATACTAAATTTGTTCAGGTGTTGCTTATGCCTACAAAAATGTGAGAGAGACCAAGGGAAACACCATGCTCCGTACAGTTCTGCTACAAAGGGCGTAACTTCCTGTGAAACAGAGACTGTCAGAAATGCCTGAGCGAGCACATTCAAGGCAACATTGGGTAACCTAAAGGGGAAAAAAAAGAAAATTCTTCCCCAGTCTGTACGTAGGAATTACCCCAAAAGTCACAGATACTAATCTAAGTATCTGGACCTAATAAGAACTTATTACAGGGTTAATGAAGTCAATGGAGCATCAACATGTATCTTTAAATCAGGCATGGTACCTAAACCAATGTCAACAAACAAACGCACAGTGAAGAATGATGACCACAACATGCTGACAAAATTACTGAGGATCCCTCACAGAACTGCCTCCTGTCACAGCTTGCCAGCCATCCCCTGTGCTGAGCATACACGTACTTGGATGGAGGAAGGGTGAAGTCCTCTTAACCAAGTCATTTGTTTTTCAGTTTTAGTAGAAACCCAAAGCTTAGCTGGGAAGGAACCCCCAAAGGGATTTTTTTAGCAAATCGGTACTGTGGCAGAAGTGAATAAAGCAAAGCACACACACACATGGAGAATCATTCAAATGATTCACTAAGGAGCAGACAGAAGATGGTAAATCTTCCCTCTAATTTCATGGTGTAATTTATGCTGCTATGATGGTTCCTGTATTTCAGTAATGACTCAAATTCTCCTTGGTTAAAATTCTTTACCACATGTAGACAGGTACTTACCTGTTCTTAAGCTTCTCAACTTTTGTTTTCTTTGGAAGATGTATGTTCTAATGTATAGCCATATGTCCTGCAGTTTCATTACAATATCAATATTGGGTTTCAGATAGTTGAAGATTTATTACTTCGAGTAATAAAAAAGTAAGGAGCAAAATTATATCCACCAGTGGTTTAACTTGGATGAAATTTTTCCTGATGTATGCAGGGAGGAAAGGGAAGGATTGAAAGGTGAGGTTCCATATCTCCACAACGTAAAGAACCAGCCTTTAGCCTTGCTTATTATGACTGAAATCTGGAACGTGGTTACATTTGCACAGTCTATACAGCAAGAAGGTTTATATCCATTTATTGGCATATAAAGCTGGAGGCCTCAGCTAGAAGTTCCAAGGCTCTCAGTCTGCCAGTTGTAAAAAAAAAAAAAATAATAATATGGAGGCCTCAGCTAGAGGTTCCAAGGCTCTCAGTCTGCCAGTTGTAAAAAAAAAATAATCAAACAACAAACCAACAAGCAATACTGACAAACCAGCAAAGAACACAAATGTACCAACAAACAATACTGACAAACCAGCAAAGAACACAAATGTACCAACAAACAATAAGACTGGCAGCAAAAGAACCCACATTTTGAAAGGGTTAAAGTTAGCACAAATGAAAAGTACAGCTGTGAATTCAGGCTCCTGCAATGGCTGTGTGGTTCCCTGGTAGCAGTGAGCACTTGACCCTCTGAAAGGAGTTAAAACACTGTGGAAAGTCTTTTTTTTTTCTCCTCTCCCAACTTTCTCACTTTTGTTCAGTTGCCAGGAAGAATGTTTGGTTATGGTGGTTGCCCAATTTCATAGAGAAAAATATTTTCTTTCCATCAAAAAAATCCCCTCTAGCAAATCCGTGTAGTGGACACTAGAATACTTCTAGGTCTGACATTATACTTGAAGGATGAACATACAGTGATCACAAGCAACATGGAAATTCTTCTGAGAAGATCTTTCTGTGTGTAAATAACAAATCTCTCCATTACAAAGAGCCACTTCAATTGTTCTCATGAGTTCCTGTTTGTGTCTATTTATACTTTCAATTAATTTCACATTCCAAGAAGGGAACTTGAAAGTCTGAGGAGGCTGGGCTTGTTCAGCCGAGAGAAGAGAAGGCTTTGGGGAACCTAATGACAGCCTTGCAATACCTGCAAGGAGGGTATTGAGAAGATGGAGCCAAGCTCTTCACAAGAGTGCACCGCAGGAGGACAAGAAATCACATGCCTAACTTGAAGCAAGAAGTATCAGAGGACTGACAAGCAGTGGAGCAGATTGCACCAAGATGTTCCACACACTCCATCCTGACATGTTTTCAAGACCCAACTGAACAAAGCCCTGAGCAACCTGGTCTCGCCTCAGAGCTGACATTCCTTTGAACAGAAGGTTGGACTAGAGTCTTCCTGAGGTCCTTTCCAACCAGAATTGTCCTGTGATCCTATGAACTGTGTATGTCACTATTCTAGCTGTTGCCTCCCGCTCTAAAATAGTATGTTTCTTTCCCCCCATTGTTTCCATTTGCTGGATTTTGTTTTGTTTTGAGGTGGGTTGTTGTTTTTTTTCTGTAATACCTTCTTATGTATTATGAAGGAAGAAGTATGCAGTCAGCAGTGCAAGTTACTTTGCCACAAATTTGTCCCTGTCCTGACCTATGTGTTTAGCAACAGAATGTGAAATTTCACTGCAGCACTGGAACAAAAGGGGAACCAAGCTTCACCGTAACTTCGTGGAAAAAAGAACTCAGTGGTTCATTTCTTGACCTTTCACATGCCAGAAAGGTTGGAAAATTAATTCCATTGGGGTTTTTACTTTGTTTCAAATAAAGAGTAATGAAAACTAAAACTAAGCAACAAAACTGAGTCAAATTTAACTTGTGCGACAAGGAGTAGTGAGAGCTGGCTGCTTTGCCAGGGACGGGGAGCCAGGAGGTGAGGGTGACAGCCAGGCAAGCTGGGCAGCATCCTCACTGAGAAGCCAGGCAGTGCCCCATCACCCCAGTGAGGCACACAGAGCAGGCCCAGTAACCAGCATTGCCCTACAGTTCACTGATCACCAGACAAATCCACAGTGATGAGGCAGGTCTGAGGTCAAGCCAGGAAGCCAATAAGGATGGCAAGGTCAAGATCAGCAAGGTACGAGGCCAGGCACAGCCACACAATGTCAGCATTGGACTTCACATGGCCAGCCAAACCCCAAAGAGGCAGGAGAAGACACTGCAAACCCATTTGGTAAAGGGCCAAACTCTTCGGGCCCTGACCCTGTGCAAAGAGCTTAATTTCCACAAAATTTGACACTGAGATCTTATACTTTTTAATATTCCACCAATGCTCATGAAAGCTGTAGCTTGGACCAGCTTACATGGGTGTGTGGATGTTTTCCATGGCATCATTTCCTACAGTGCCATCCTACACTGCTGAAGATGCACTTCAAGATGAAGGAAAAGATGGCTGGCCTGTAGAAAAAAAAAAAAAAAAAAAAATCAGATAAGTTCAGGGTCCTATGACTTTAGGATAATAAAATGTAGGCACTAATCCCGTAGATTGTTCTGAAATGCTCAGTCTTTGTGTTCAAATCACAACCCTCTGAAGAACTGAGGAAACTTTCAGATGTAGAGACTACAACGTCCTGTACTTCAATCATTTATGCATTTACCTCATTATTCTTACATAGCTGAAAATTTACACTTTTTTTTTTGTTCTCTCTAAACTTTTTGTCCAAGCTGGACCAAATTTACCACATGAAAGTGAACATTTATGTTCTTTTTAAAATTGCAGTGTTACAGGAGATGTATTTTTCACTATGCAAAAATGTCATAGCAAAAAGTAAATGTCTTCATCCAAGCTCCAATCCAATCCAATGTATATTATTGTTATTGAATATTCCACTTAGAATTCGTGATGGCTCTGCAGGCAAAAAAGAAATGCAAATTCACAAGAACTCTTCCCAAAGCAAGGGCGTTCCTCGCAGAAAAGAGTTTATAAAATCCAAATTTCTCTTTAGTGGCAAGAAGAAATGGATGCATTCAAATTCCATTTTCCTCACAGACAATGCCTAAAAGCATTAATATATGGCCTCAGTGAGTCACTGTAGTTCTCTCTCATTTCCCAATCTATATAATAAGAATATGGATAATTAACGGGGCTGTGATGGTAATTTAGTTAATATCCACAGGGTACAAAATGTCAGTGGCAAATGATATTGTTAGCACAATAACAGTAGAGGGGAATTTGTATGTCAGGAATTCACTTAAAGCAGAATTCATCTGCCAGAAGTCCAGCAAAGATATAGCTCAGCTTTGTAAGTCAGGAGGTTTTCAGTGGACTGTGATGACGTAGCTGGTGGAGTTTCAGACATCAGTTAACCTGGTTTTCCTGGAATCTTAGCCACAACCTGCATCACCACGTTCATGATACAGATCATTATTCTTTTCTGATGTAATTACACATCAGCTTTGCACTGTTAATGTCAGTGGGATCAGTCCTGACTCACATGGTTGTAGTCTCAGAGAGATTCTTGCAAACCCTTTTTATTTATTTTGAGTCTCTAACAGATCTATCTAACTTCAGAACCACTGAGAAACACGAAGGGAAATGTGAATTTGAGTTGTCAGATTAATATATTCCACTTCCCGTTTCCATTTATGGAAAATGACACTTGTAAAATAATTCTGATCAGTCTAGTGACAATCTTCAGCAGTGTCACTCCTAAGTTAATGCCAGTAAAGAAGGGAACATTGGGGCACCGCTTAGCCATGTGCCACTTTCTATATTACTTATCAGTTTCATCCGTGTCACCGTTGGTCTAGTTCTCTAATTTTTAAGGTGGTAAAGGAGGAAGCCATTCATTTGCTCCCCACCTCAACAGAGCGTAGAGAGACAACATGGGTGGGAGTATTAAGGGCACTTGAGACCAGTGTGACCAAAGCAGCACATCTGCTGCACCTACAGCCCGGGGCTGCCAGTTGCCAGGGTTTTCCTTCTGTGTTACTGATAAATTTCCAGCCTAAGCTGACACAGGGAGGTTTTGGCTGCTTAGCTATAAATTAAACAAGATATTTCACCTAAATTTTGTAATATCCTAGAAAGACATAAAGTCTGTTCAGGGCTGGGTCTTTGGGGGGAAAAAAAAAAACCAAACAAGCAAACCGCTACCAACAAAAACCAAACAGGAAAGAAAAGGCTGTGCCAAGTGACATGTAAAAAGCCTGATCCAGGTGAATTACAAAGACACTGCCCAAAGACACAGTCAGATCCTTACCTGTGCCAACCCAGAGGCACTGTCAGCAGAGTGTAAAACCTGAAATTAAAAAAAAGGTGGGAAAATAGGTCAATCTCTTTTTTGTTCCGTTTCTAAAATTAACTTTGAGTATTTTGATGACAGGAGTATAGACTCCCAGCTCCTTTAAGTGGAGCTCAAGAGAAACTGAAAAAAAATATTAGAAAAATGTCATCTCACAAGAGCTGAGGTAGCTCTCAGGAGCTGTTACTTAAATATAGTATTTTGAGAAATGTTATTGCTATAGAAACTACTTGATTAAAGATTCAATACGAGGGACAAAAGATTCTTTTCTTTTCCATTGTTTTGTTTTCCTGGTAAAGTCAAGATCTGTTCCTGGATGAACAAATGAGGTGGTGACAGACTGGGTAGAAGCACACCCAGATATTGTACTAGTGTCTAATCACATATAAATATAAATCTATATATAAACATCACATTTAGTTTTATCTTCATTAGCTATGAGGGTAAACAAGATAGGGGGGTGGCTCATGCCTTACTGTGGTTTTCCCTATGATTTTTCAGATCATCTAGATGTGGCACATTGCCTTTCAGATGAGATACTGGAGTTCACTTATCATAAGCAACAGTTTTCACAACCTTTTTCCAAGAGCTGGTCCTAATATCCCCAAATTTGTGCTATACTCCATCCCAGCTGAAGCCTTATTTTGATTTTGTTGTAGAATCTTGACCTTACCTGTCCTTTTCTCACTGTTTAAAAGCTTCCTCTTAACAATAGATGTGCAAAGCGATGACTGTTTTTCCAACCCAGCCCGAAGAACTACACACATCTTGTTTCAAATTTCTAGCATTTTAGCTATAATTTATTTTTGTCTCAATCCTAGCCCTATCTCAGGGATATATTGAGCTATTGGAAAAACTGTCACCTCAGTTTCCTTCTTCTGATAGCTGGTAACTTAGCAGATGTCACGGCAAGTACTAAATCCAGGAGGATACAGTCTAAAGGAGAGATCCATACATTGTCTTTTGTTTCACACACTTAATTAGATCTGTGAGGAGGTACTGTAAGGAAAATGCAGTTCATCATGTAAACACAGGG